TTTAGAAACTTTGGTAGGAAAAATTAGGGATGAAAATGAAATTGCAGATTAGAGAATAAATTATGCTTTGTTTTACTTTTTATTTTTCAGTAAACTACGAAAAATATTACCAGTAAAATGGACTTTGCCTAAACTTTGCATTTTCTTTTTGCCTTTTTTTTGTTTTTTTAGCAGTTTGTCCTTACGAGTTACGTCCCCTCCGTATAATTTAGCAGTTACATCTTTTCTTAAAGCAGATAAAGTTTCTCGAGCAACAATCTTACTGCCGATACAGGCTTGAATTGGAACCGTAAAATTTTGGCGGTTGAGGGTTTGTTTTAAATTTAGACAAATTTCTCGGCTTCTATTTTCAACAAATTGGCGGTGAACTAAAAATGATAAATCAGAAATTAATTGTTTGTTAAGTAAAATATCCACCCGTACAATATCGCTAGGGCGAAAGCCAATAAATTGATAATCAAAAGAAGCAAATCCGTGCGACAAAGATTTTAACTGGTTGGTAAAATCAATAATAAATTCGGCAAAGGGCAATTCGTAAGTTATTTGTCATCAAATATCGGTTTTCAGTTGAGTGTCTTTATAAATTCCTCGTTTGCTTTGGCACAATTCCAAAATGGCCCCACAATAATCCTGGGGAGTAATAATTATTAAATTGATAAATAATTCTTGGATTTCTTTAACTTTATTTAATTCAGGCATTTTTTGAGGGTTGGCTGTTTCAATTATCTGTCCGTTATTTAAAATCAATCGATAGTTAACAGTAGGGTCAGTAAGAATTAATTCTACATTGTATTCTTGTTTAATTCTCTCACAAATAATTTCTCGATGCAATAACCCTAAAAATCCACAACAATATCCAGGTCCTAAAATGTTTGATTCAATATTTTCCAAAGCCAAAGAACCATCTTGCAGTTGTAATTCTAGCAAAGCCTTTTTAAATTCATTAAATTCTGCACTATCATTAGGATAAAGATTAGAATAAATGTTAGGTTTTAGTTTTTGATAACCTGGCAAAGGTACTGGGTTTTTCTGATTAACATCAAATACCGTATCTCCAACTTGGGCGTCTTTAATGTCTCTAATATTAGCCGTAAATCAGCCTATTTCTCCGGTTATTAAGCAATTTTTTTCTACTTCGGCCGGAGTTTTTACTCCCACTTTTTCTACTTGATAGATTTTTTGATTACGGTAAAATTTAATTTTTTGTTTAGTTTTTAATTCTCCCTCAAAGATACGAATAAAAACAATTACTCCTCGATACTGGTCGTAAAGAAGGTCAAAAATTAGGGCTTTCAATTTTCCTTTCTCATCTGGGAAAAGCAGGTTATTTTCTCTTGGCATTTCTCTTTTGATGATAGAAGGTTAGCACGATAGTTAAAACTAAAATCGCCATAATACTAATTCCACTTATTATGAATATTCGGGTGATTTTTTTCTCTTTTTCTTGTTGGAGAAAAGTTTGTTTTTTGGCTTTAATGTCGGCTAATACTCGGTTTTGGATATTTTGAATTTCAAAAATATTTTCAGAAGCGTTTATTTTGGCTTCTCAATTTTTATCTGCAAGTTCTAAATAATTGCCGGGAATTTTAGGTTCTTGTTCAATGGCCTGAGTAATTTCGTTGATGGCCTGAGTTCTTTTAGCTTGGAGAAAAGGGTCCTCGCCCCGGTTTTTTCGTTCTTTATTTTTGCGTTCCGCTTCGGCTTTTTCCTCTTCGGACATTTGCGGTCAAAAATGAAAATTTTCCTTATCCGCCGCCGAAAGAGAATTAGCCAGAGTTTCAAAAGTGGCTTTTCCGGCTTCCGCATCACCATTAAAGCGGCTATTGTCCACTTCATTAATTTCTCCACTATGTATTGCTTCCTGGGATTTACTAAAAACTTCTTGTAGTTTGTCTAAATATTTTGGGTCATCAATTTCGATTTCTC